TTTTTTTTTTTTTTTTTTTTTTTTTTTTTTTTTTTGGACGTACCTGCTTACGTCATCACTCGAGCTGTCCGACTCGTCTGAATCACTGTCCGACTCCTCACTGTCTGACGACTCGGCCTTGGGATCGTAGCCTCGAAACGCACCTCAAAAATCAAATGTGAAATTACAACCTGTAAGACGCCCTGTGAAAAACTTTAGGAAGAAAATGTTATTCTTGGGGTCACTTTTTATTCAGTGATACAGACTTTTACATTGATGAGTGATATTTTGAATGTTTAACACTGACAACCAGCAGTCCTATGATTTCATTTATTGATATTATTTTAAGTAAAGTCAAATGCATTTTTATAAGTTGGTATCGAATGAATGCTCTTTCAGAAACTGACGTCACTTAATATCTTAAATTATTCCCAACTTTGTGGCACAAAGTCTGTGATAATATAAAGGGGAGTACCTCTTGATGCATGTTCTTTTGCATGTATAGACTGTATTGCCGGCAAAAATTGAGCTTCAACTACTCCCGACTCCAACGTTGATCGAATGCCAGACTCAGCAGGTGCTTCAGCAACTCGATAGAATACAAAATGTTTTCTCTCCGTTTCCTCCTTGTAGGTTGGGCAGTCAAACTCCGATTTTTCATTTTCCTCTAGCTGCGCAAGAATAACTTGTTTTCCATCAACATACACATCAACATTACATTTCACTTTGTTGGTATTCTGGAGCATTATTTGAAACTTTTGGCCACTCTGAAGTTCTACATATTCTTGTCCGTCTTCTACCTCATAATGCTGACCCCCAACTATGCCTAGTCTATACCCATCACACTCTTTATAATTTTTGTCTTTCTTTTTAAACTGGATTCGAATTGGGTTTGATGTCACTCGAGTTAAGGGACTCTTTGGTTTTTCAAGTATGGATCCGACATTTCTTTGCCTCAGAAGTTCAGGCTTTATTTGTGGTTCTTCCGATAGTGCAGTTTCGACTGAAAGATACAATAGTACATGATACGATCCACACAATTTAAATGTATATGTGTGAAATATTCGAATGCCTAGTAGGGCCTACATTACAGGGTTACCTACGGAGCGAGAAAAAAAAACTAATTAAAACAAATTTTGGTCCTGTTTCCTATTTCGATTGCGTTTTCAATAATGGCATCTATTCACAAAACTCTATAAACTGCATTACAGGTCATTTCTGCCATTTTGAGTTTGAAACACAAATGAAACTAGATTGCTTATTTTAATGATCTTTTACACACTGTAGTCTATATTTACTTACGTGTTTTATTCACTGTTGGCGGCGCATCTGTTTCTAAATCCAAGCCTAAACTTTTAGTATTTGTATCGTCAATTACTTCTGTTTCTCGAGGCTCCGGTGAGGATTTCATTTCAGTGAGAGCGACTGAACCTAAGATAATTTCTAGTGACTGATTTGAGTCTGTCCTTCGAGTGTTAGGTTGCAACGATTCCGATCCTTGTAGTTTTGGGTCAACCCAGGAGTATTCGGCAGGTTTTTTCATTTCTTGGGACGAGAACTCGGTCTCTCTGCAAATGCTAAGACCTTGTCCACTTTGTGAATAATTGGACTGGATTTGTTCGTCGATAGAAGAGACTGGAAAAATTTACAAAGGTCAAGTATATGAATGTACTGAAAATTAGCCAATTCAGCTTTTAACATTTATCACTTTTTTGTGATTTAATAAGTAAGGTTTGACAATTGTAGGGCCTATTGTAGGCCTCAGGCCCGTAGCCAGGAGGGGGTTCGGGGGGTTCAAAAGAACCGCCCCTTTTGCTGGGAAAAGGTCCACTCTGAGTAAAATTTGATTTATGTACATGAAGTTTTTATGGGAAAAGGTCCATTTTTCAGAAAAAGAACCCCCCTTTTGAAATTTCTGGATACGGGCCTGCGGCCTACATGTAGCCTAGGCCTACATGTGATGTGCATTATGCTCAGTAGCATAAACGGCCGCTCTCTATTTGTTATAGGCCTATAATAATATAATAATATAATAATTATATAGGGTCTACATGTTTATAAAACTGAATCTGATATTAAGGCATGGATATATGATGTTTCTTATAAAAAGAGATAACTATTTACTGTAATTATAACGTTTTACTGGATATTGCATTTCCCCTTGAAAGTGGAGTCGCTTCCAGGAAAACAACCAATTTGTGCCAAAAGAGGGCACTAGCGGCAGACGTGGTTATGAGTAATGTTTTGTGTGACGTATTCATTCCCTCTATATTTAAGTGTACAGATTTTATCAAATTTAATTTTGCACGTTTCATTTGTATTTGTACACGTAACTTAATGGCTATCCTAGCACACGAGGGTGCGTGCAAATCTCAATTATGTACAGTTAGGTCTATCAGAGATGATAAACACAATTCAAAACATAGTTGACCTAGTTGCATCTAACCGGATCTTTGCGACCCTATTTCTGTGTCTATCATATACATGTATACATGTTAAAATTTACTGAGCGAGCTTGGCCAGTTTTCCATACCTTTGGTCGAAAAATCTCTGATCCTGATATACAGATCGTGTCTGTGAAGAGACTGCATTAAATACTGTAGGTAAGTCAGATCTTCGTCACATATATGTGCCCCTTCTTCTAACAGAGAAAATATATGATACCCCTGGTCTACTCCCTCCAGTCTTGACTTTGGAACGACACCAGAGACAAGATATTTTAACTCTTCTACGTTTTGAGTCGACAATTCATGGGATATTTCCATTAGAAAGGCACGAAAATCAGTCGCTTCTCGAGTCGCCGGAGTCATTTTAGAAGACTGGCGTTAATATACTTGACCCAGATAGGCCTACGTGTTTGTAGGCCGAGTCAGAAATCCCTTGTTTCGATTCGTCAAACCTAAACGATTAAACAGTGATTATAATATGCTTCTTTCTTCCTGTCATTGTTAGCAGTGAGCACAAGTTCATAATTTTACAGTGTAAATATGAATCCCAAACAATTTGTTTATCCAGTCAAACCAGGAGCTAAATTTCCTGTAACGAAATGGAAATGGTTCGTGGAAACGTCTATTTTTAGCTCTTGCTCATTACGAGTGCACTTTTATCGTGATCCCATGTCACATGCACGTCAAATTACATTAGGCATGTACGATTAGAAAAAATTAAGGTTTCCTCTTTTCTCTGCCATTTGGACTGATATGGAGAATTTTTATAATTGCACATCAAAATGCTTATGACTCTGTCACACATAGGCCTACTTACCGAATTTTGAGTAGGCCTATATGACATCACCCTTTTTCCAGCGTATGAATAAAATGAACAAATGAGCAGAGTGTAAAATTGTTTTTGAATATGCTCAAAACATTTTGTCTCCCTCTGCGATTGCAGATCGACCTACAACAAGGTTTTCCATGCGTAGGCCTACTTGAAACGTAGGGACACGTCGTAGGTGTAACGAACCCTTTGCGTTTGTGTGCGTATGGGTAATTTTCCTCGTAGGCCTACGTTAGTGATGTACGCTGCTAAGTGTGATGTCCAGTGCCTTTATAAAACCATAGACTCTCTACTTCTATGATAAAACGTTATTCACTTTGTTGCTCCAAATGGTGCTTTGAAATAATGTGCGTGTGTCTGTATGCGTACGTGTGTTTGTGTGTGTGCGTGCATAGGTTCGTGTGTGTTATTTAAGCACATGTAGGCCTATACGTATTAGGCTGCAAACGAATTTAAAAACATGTCATATAAAAGTGCGGAAACGTTCTTGGTGTAAAGAACATCCTCTGCAATTGGAGTAAGATTGTAAATATACAGAATGTTTATTTATTTCTCCTAGTTGCCATTCAGAATGGAGTCTTCTGCTCGCCGATCAAGCCAAGTTGAAGTAGACGATGTCCAACAAACATTGTCTCAGATTGATGAACACTTGGAGAAACTGAGAAGCAGCGATTTTTCATTGATCAATACTAGTAATGGTAAACTGTTATTAGCGATAAAGTAAAATCAGTCGTCTTTAAAAGAAATAGAAGTAGCAAAAGAAAACGTCTTTGTTGCTAAAAATCAGACATTACAAGCTCGAAGCGGAAGACTTTCACTAGTTGCTACTGTTTCCTTCATCTTTGTCTGTCCGGAACATCCCCCGTCACAGTAAACAAACCTATATTGTTTTCATAAATTGTGCCGCTGAAAATATAGTAGATGAGTGTTTAAGTCCCCGATCTACAGGTATCCTGAAATGGGAATAAGGTTTTTTTTTAGTTTTGAGAAATGTGATTACATCTGCAGCATTTGAAAACGACCTAAAGTTAAACCCATTTCATTCAACATTTTATTTACATTTTATTGCGATGGAATACCTATAATTAACACAATTAATTACATTATTTTCATCACGCATTTTCAGCAATAGAACAACACTTGAACAGTGCTGAAGGTTTACTTTATGTAAACTTACCAAAAGCACGTGAAGTATATGAGATTTTATTGAAATCCATCGACACGAAGGATAAACTGCTGGTAATTACATGGACTTGAATTTCAATAAAAAAGACAAAAAATAATACGTAGACAAAATGCCTCAACCAAAATGAAATTAAATTTTTGAATTTGTAGAAATTAAATATATAACACAACACAAAATTTATCAATTTTTGCAATTTTAAGGTACTCCGATGTCGACATGGGTTAGTACAAGCTTCACTGGGCACATTGCCTTTGTCTGACTCATTAGCGGTTGCTAAAGAAGGCTTTGAATATGCTCAATGCATTTTACCAAATCAACCCCAGACCAATGAGGAACTGAACGCCGCATATTTAGAATCCAGTTTTGATCTTGCTACTGTCTACCGAATCGTCGGTCAACTCGATGAGGCCGACCGAATCCTGAGGGAAGCACTCCAGTTTGCGAAGGACCACAACTGTCGAGATGGTGCACACAGAGCCAAGGTACTCCAGGGTATCGTGTTGCTGTCACGCGGAGAACTGGGCGTGGCCATCAGAGGCGTCTTTACGCCTTTAATGGAGGAATCTCTAAGTGATGAAAACAAGGGGTTACTCCTTCAGGCTTTAGGAAATGCTTGCAGGTAGGTTGGGTATGTAATGGGAAGTGCCTGTTTTATTTATTGAACAAAACTTGATAACTTGTGTGTCCTTCCCAAGGGGGGTCAGTCCAACTAGAGATAGGCTTACTGTTGACTGTAATGTGGCAACTGCTAATTAATGCACCACTCTGTAGACTAAAGCGATTGTAAACTTTCGCTCATTGGAATCCCAGACATAGTAAATGTGCTAATGTTGTGCGGGTGCCAATTTACACAACTGAGCAAAGACAGGTATTGGGTCATCAAAGAAAAATGAAAGTGAAATATCAACTCTGTGATGCGCGCTTTCAATTTTAACAAAGAGGGCAACGTTGGCGGACGCGATTGTGAATCTTGCTGACAAAGTTTAAAAGCATGGCATGTATTTTTCTGACATTTTCACAGAGAGACTAGAATATATTTTAGATAGATGGAAATCCAACTTAGATACTGTATAAATCGTTTTCGCAGATCTGCCGCACAGTGGGGCCCAGCAAAGGATCACATGAGAGAAGCAATTTCAATTGCGAAAAAGATGGGTGACAAGGCACGTGAAGCAGAGAGGCACTGTGATTTAGGAACCATATATCGTTCTGAGGGTCGAATAGCTGATGCTTTGGAACATCAGAGAAAGCTGTACGATTTTGCACTGGAAAGAGGTAACAAAGGCCACTCCATCCAAAATGTCGAAGAATGTCAGTTTTACAATCCTTATACTTAAAACTATCCCCGTAACAAAAAGATGAAAATGGGTAATACCGCGTCAGAAAACAATATCGCATCATATATCAGATCCACGTATCATTCCTACTGCATCTAGAAAACGTAACCCTATCATTGTAGGAGATATGCAAGGTCTATGCTCTGCATGCTTTGGAATTGGTTTTTCGCATTATTCAACAAAACCTAGACCCGATTATAAGCAAGCGTTACTTCACCTTGGTCTACAGAAACGTCTTGCCGATAGACTGCAGGATGTAGCCATGAGAGGGATTGCCCTAAATTGTCTGGGTAAAACTTTTACAGGTATGACCTATCTTTTTTTCTGAACATGTGATTTTTTAAATATTCAAATCGTCATCCACATTTCTCCAATGTGAGAGCAAATTATTGGTATGAAGAAATAATAGCCGCATTTCTAAAGAACTGTTCTGCATTTCAGGAAGGTGAACTGTTTTCTCATATCAACTAATGCAGACAAAACCTATCTTCGAAAAGTTAATATAAACAAATTTAGTACAAATAGCGCTGATCAATGTGCTTCATCATTGCTAATATAATATGAATTAAGAGAAGACTGAATTTAAGGAATACAACCTTATGATGGTATTTATTATTGCAAATTTATGTAAGATTTAGGAAAGTACGAAGATGCCATCCAAGCCTTTGAGGAGAGAGTAGAAATTGCACAACAAACTGGAAACATAGCTGGTGAAGGGATGGCGTATGGAAACCTTGGAACAGCCCATAGATGTATAGGTGAAACACACTGTTTGTTTTTTTCCTCACAGTATACAATCATCAGAACTGTCAAAATTGAAATAATATTTGAACATTCATGAAGATTTCATTCTTTGCTCCATACTGCTTTTATTTGAGGAGCGATGGCGCAGTTTGTACATATTGGTCAACGTTATCTTCATAGCAGCAAATTGTACCTTGAAAAAACTGCCTTTGAAATTCCATTTATAAAACATTTTTCCTGGTTTATTAAGACGTGTTATCTGAAAAAAATCTGCAATCCTCGGAGGGTCAACTCACCAGAGGCTTTTCAAACTAGTATTTTGTAAAATTCACTGACTGGTTTTCACCCTGCCATTACAATAAATTTCAGAACGGCTGTATCAATGCTCATTGGCTACCTTCGGAGATGATTATATGTTCCCACCCTTTTCTTAGATGTCTTCAATATTTTTTTTTTTTTTTTTTTTTTTTTTTTTTTTTTTTGGATGGCTCGGTTTTTTTTTCTCAATCTTACTTGGGTCGAAAGAACTTAGGTCGAACTTTAAGACTAAAATCCTAGCGCACTAAAATAATGCAACTGTCAGTCTAAAACATTGATATTTTAATATTAAAATTAAAACATTGCTTTTAGAGAAACAGACCTATTATCCCCATTTAAAATGACTTTAGCTGATTTCTCCGGGATCAAAGTTAATTTAAAAAACCGCACTGCCTCAACACAACTTCTTATTACTTGGTTGAGAAGTTAATCTGATATTTACATCCATAATTCAGGAAACTACGAAGAAGCATTAAAATACCATCATAAATATTTGATGAACGCTGAGCGCAGAGATGACACCGGGGGAGCGGCTATCATGTTGAGAGAATTAGCACTGGATTATTTGTTTATGGATGTATGTTTACTTGTTCTATGCATTTTCATGTGGAGAATTTGGAAGCATAATATCTCAGAGTCGGTGAACACTATTTTCATTTAGCTGAGAAAACCTTAAGCAGTTAAATGTGGGCCTATTTAGAAATACGACATACTTTCCTGGTTTTTAGAATTCTGAATGGCTTTTCTCTTAAATATTGTAACAAGCTGACAATTATTATATTGTTACAGGACAGCGCGAATGCAGAGGTCTTCGCTAGGAAAGCGCTGACAACACTGGATACTATAAGAGCACAGCTAGGTCCAGAAGATACTTCAAAAATCGCAAACTACGAAAAGAACCAAGCCGATGCCTATAATCTTCTTATCTACGTTCTTGTCAAGGCAGGGCGTTATAAGGACGCTCTAGTGGTGTCCGAAATTGGTCGAGCTCGTGCTTTAACAGATCTAATGATTCTGAAAGCCGGTAAAAGCTACGCACCGCCGCAGAGTCTAAATGAAACTGACATTTATGATTTAGCACGAAGATTCCAAACATCATTCGTCGTATATTCCATAGTTAATGAGATAGACCCAAGGGGAAAACGAACGGGATGGTTCTACATATGGCTGGTAACTATTGAGGAGGGGGTGCAGGCTCCCAGGGTTTATTTTGGCAAGCACTTAAATGTGTCTGATCCGGATCTTGTTGATGAGAGCAACGAGACTATTGCCCTTGATGAAGGATATTTTCATTCACTGTGTAGATCCATGCAGACCATGGACGATTTAGGTGGGTATTTCATCATTTCATAACTTTTTTGCATTTAGTTCCTTTTTAATTAATTGAATTGATGAAACGCAGAGTATTTTCATAAGTTCTCCATGTTAAAAGTGTCCTCGAGTCGTGTTGGGCTGGACGGACCCTGCACAGTGTAAAAATTATCGTTCTGAAATACAGTGTAGGCCTATCAGTTCCTTTCAATACAAAATTAATTGATTTTTGATAAATTCAGATCGTACTCAGAATTCAGACTCGGAATCCGATTCGGATTCAGAGGAAGATGAGACAGAAAGAGATCCAGGAAAAATGGAATCGGCCCAAGAACAGGTAACATTATTAAAAACGTAAAGTTTATTTATTTATTTTTTTGTGACTGTGTGTATCTAACCTAGCTGTAAAGGTTATAAACTTAAGATCTGTCTTACACGAGCGCTTTTACTCATACCCTGTGGGGCATGACTCTCCTCGTCCAGCTTACACCCCTGACATCCTTTCAGTTTGCTAGTGTTAGTTGCTACAAGAGCATGTCTGAACGTTAAGAGTCTCAGGTTGTAGGAAGACTACAAGAACACAAACATTGACACACACACGCACGCACGCACGCATACACACACATATATATATATTCCCCTTTCTTTACTTTCTGCCGGGTACAACCCGTTTTAAGACTTGGGTCGCATCAGAGACGCCAGTGAGGATGAAAACTGAAGGGCAGTTACGCGCCTTATACGACACTTGCATTGCTCCCATCGCTAAACATCTACCTGTGGCAGATGTTGGAGATGAGAGTCATCTTCGACCACGTTTAACAATTATCCCACAAGGTATGAATGTTCTTTTTGCAGGTATCTGTGAAAGTGAAATATACCCCTTTTAGAATAAATACTGACGAGAAACCAGCACGTTTCTTTTGGTATTTTCCACTCTTCGGCGCATAGTCCTCTAACCTCTCTCTTTAGTACAGTATTTTGCATTCCTGATTTATGAATTGTTATGTTTGTTTAATTTTTTGCAGACTTCCTATTCAAAGTACCATTCGCTGCACTTCAAGCTCCAGATCACAGTTATATGGTGCAGAAATTTGTCATGAACTGCAGTCCATCCATCCTTGCCTTCAAACTCTCTCAGGAGAGACGAGAGCACCTGAAAACTCTGACCAGAAAAACCAGCATGATTGCTATTGGCAACCCCTTGACACCCTTTACTGGAAAACAGCTGCCGCAGTTGTTGGGTGCAGAAAAGGTAAGCGAATGAATTTGAGTTGATTTAGGCCTGTTGCAAATGTATGTAGTAAGTCATTTTGAAAGATTGGTGTGTAATTGCAGAATCATTTGACGTGTGCATTTTTAGATTAAGGTAAAAAACCAATAGTTCAATAATCATATGATCAGTATTGTTTACTAGGAGGTCAAAAGAGTGCGCAAGTGCTTCAAAGATGATGACGTTTCCTTGTTACTTGGAGAAAATGCAAGGAAAGATAAAACTATGGCAGAAGTTAAAGCCCACTCGGTGATTCACATAGCAGCGCACGCGGCACCACATGAAGGAGTGGTAGATTTAAAAGAAGAGGTTGGTATCGCTTTTGTTTGTGTCACTCATTTATCAACATCGACAGGTTACTAACATTGCAATGATGTCCGTGGTTATTTAAAAAAAACTTAACCCTGTGATGATACTACATAATGATTTTAATTTTAACTTAAAAAATTACAAATGATGCTATGAAATGCCTCGATGATTTGTTTTGAATGGGATTAAACAAATTGATTATTTATATCTAAACTTGAATTTTCTTTTTAAAGGAAACGGAGTTTAAAACAGCTGACGGTGACTATAGCACAAGAGGCTGTTTATTCATGGCCCCATCAAATCCAGATTGTCAAGGTATACTGCTGGCTAGTGAGATCATGACTATGGACATTCCTGCTTTACTAGTTGTGCTCAGTTGTTGTGAAACGGGACTCGGGAAAATAACAGGTGATAAACATTTCGTATCTGCATTCTACATTGTATACCCAGAGATACATAGTGCTGAATTTGTCACCTATAGTTTTCGTGGCATTATTGGAAGTGTCTGTAACGTGCCCTTTGTGTGCGTGCGTGCGTGTGTGTCTATGCGTGTGTTTGTTTGTTGGTTACCGTGTCTGTGTTTCTTTCTCTGTGTGTGTGTGTGTGTGTGTGTGTGCGTGTGTGTGTGTGTGTGTTGGGGGGGGGGAGCTCTTAGGAAAACACGTGAAAAATATATAAATTTTGGACCCATTATATATAAACACACAAACGCACACACTAACACACACTTGTTAGGCCGCTGTGAATTACAATGTAAATTCCCTTGCTTGATTATTCCTTGTTTTCTACAACTGAGTAACTGAGAACGTAAAATTCTCTCAAAAAAGGGCTGATTATAAGTCCCAAGTTAACACATGTTTATTTAAGTAATGCAAAACATGTTTTAATCTCACACCAAGAGCAACTTTTATTGTGCTGTCTCCTTTTGTATAGCCGATGGCGTCCTGGGCCTGTATCGAGCGTTCTTAGTTGCTGGGACTGCGTCTGTTCTTGTTAGCCTTTGGAAGATAAAAGACAAAGCCACTTGTAAATTCATGACTTTCTTTTATAAACAGTATAAGGTAAGCTGAAACAGATTCTATGCTAAACATAATTTCAACTGTTATTAAAATATGGGACGAATGATTAACATACAGCCCACGTCTGTTTGAGCTGTGATACCCTTCAACTGTATGATACCCTTCAAGTGTATGATTTCACTTGCGCTCCTTTTAACAGTGCTTAGTTTCTCGGTCAGTTTTCCCTGATGTGTGCTAATGCTTGCTTACGTAATATTTCATTTTGATGTGCCATGATAAAATGGGCTAGTGATTTTCAGTTGGAGTATGTAAAGAAAAGTTGCTTTTAAGGCATACATATGTATATCTAAATGTTAGACATATATTTACCTTAATTTTGGAAAACCGATTACTTCTGGTATTTCAGAAACATGGAGACATTTCTTTAGCCCTGCACGAGGCCATGTTGAAGATGCTGCAGCACCGAAAGTACCATAAGCCACACCACTGGGCTGCTTTTGCACTGATGGGGGCATCGTGATGGAAGATTAAATTGCACAAAGAGACTTTCGAAATATACATTTTTCATTTGAGGAGAATTGCATGCAATAAAGTTTGGAGAGCAAAATAAATTAATAGAAAGTATTCATTAGCGGGACCAAAATTGGTGTGATAAAAACGAACAGGTCAATGAAATATAGTTTACTAAGTATATACCTTTTACGTGCAATACACATTCTATAAGTTAACAATGATTATCATGGGTACAGTAATGTACAGCATTTCTAAGATCCGTCAAACCAATATTCAATATTTTCAATTTTTTCAATATTTTGCAGTTAATTTCCCAGATATCATGTTCTACCTAACTATGCAAAACCTTAATATTAAAAGATAAGTTCAAAGTCCTGCTTAAAATATTTTTAAAAAATTAACTGTTTGAATATCTGTATCGCAGGACAAGTTTATTGATGCAGTAATTTTTGGTTCTTTTTAACCCACAGTAGACAATGGTACAATTACTTTTAGATAAATGCAAGACCCTAAGGAATAAAATATTACTTGTAGTTTGACTGCTGAAAAGTGGCAAAACTCTTAATGGCACAAAACCAAAATTAATGAAATGAGAAAAAATATGTTTACGAAGGATGACAGTGCATGGCTGAAGATTGTAGTTTTTCTGTAGAAATTAAATTATGCATGAAACCGATGGTAACATCGACATGGTACGTTCGTCTTGGTACATGTATATCATCCCCTCTCTGTGTAGAAGAGGTGCTTGCATTCCAACAATTTTATGTGTTTATATATATATATATATATATATATATATATATATATATATATATAAACACACACTTGACATTTAATATGGAATATTTTAGTTTCGAAGGTATGCCTAGGTAAAAATGCGTTCTTTTTTCAAAAAACTCTCATATAAGATATGTGAATGGAGAAGTGTGTAGGCAGGTGTGTCGCTACCAATTAACTGAATGCCAGGTTTGTTGCGCTGCTGCATTATGTAATATGCAGTGATTTAATTGGATCGTGCTCCTGTGGACAGGTCAAAGCTTGGCTTTGGCAAAGCATGGCTCTGTCAAAAAAGCATTCATATGTCAGCAAGTTCTGCATAGAAGAATTTGAAATTTTGCATGCAAGTGGTCGGTTTTGCAGTGTGTAAAATGAGCTACGCAGTGCTTTACAAATTTGTTAATATATGGTAGAATGGCGCGAAAAAGACAGACATTACCAGACAGATAATTGCGCCAAACGAAACTGTCCTCAGTTTTATAGTGCAATGATCAGACTGATGTACCTACACAGGGGCCACACCCAATGTATTGAAATCTTACCACCAGAGTACAGGACTCACTTTCTTACGGGGTATGCTGTTGCAACTAGACGAAACCCACCCCGTCCGTTCAGAATGAGGGGTAAATTGCCACCTGAACGCGTTTTTCAGGGTCTTAGCGAACACCAAACTGGTTTTAGCAGGTTAGAATACCACACGACCTCTGAGGAAGCCACAGTATACAGCAAAACATCGTTGTCTGTTTGTCTAATAAATCGGGGACCATGATCGTTTCTGAGTAGAACACTGAAACCACGTGGCTTTTTTTTATTGAGTTCAGATTTCACCAGATTAACTTTCTAAAAAAATTTTTTGTATTAAGCTGTTTAATAAAATTCATAATAGGGGAGACCGGGGCTAGTTGGACCCCGGGGTAAGTTGGCCCCCCGTCAATTTATAAAAAAGTAACCACGAGGTAAAAAGATTGGCCACATACTTTCGTAAAGTGACCTTAGCCTACAATGCTAAGGAAGTGTCGGACGTCAAAAAGTTTTACTTAAGCGGTGAGTCGAAATAAACGATTTTTGCACCTAAAAGTAATTTTGTTTAAGAGATTTAAAAATCTATTTTCATAGGTTTTTGATCAAATATAATGTATGTTTAGGGCATCAAACTGAAGCTCATCGTTTCAAGTTTCACAGAGATGTATCATCGTTGCTCATTCTAGCACCATAAAAGGCTGCCATCCTTTAAAATAAATAATGTGCACACGGGGTTAGTTGGCCCCATTGACTCGGGGCAAGTTGGACCCTCATATTACCCACAAACCTTTGCGTGCAACGCTGTTTGAAATAAACAAGTTGGTGAAATTGACAAAGCTTGCCGGTGTTTACCGTCTGATTGCTTTTATTTAATTTGCTCTCTGGTGTCTTTTCAAAAATTTATATTAGAAATGTTCTGTTGCTTGTATGTATTAAAAAGTAAATCCATTGGAATTTCCTTAGAAAAACATTTATTTTGCCTTAATTCATTGTAAGGGGATTCCCTTTGTATTTATAGTGTTATATGTGGCCCCAAGGGGATTTTCCACCCCTCCCTAGCTAGAGACCATTGTTGAAACAAACTCAATGGTTTAAAACTGAATTTGTTACTTTCTTTTAAAACGAACATTTATTATTCGTTTTCATTCATTAAAACCCTGCTTTATACCATTATTAATTTATTCTTAATTAAAACAAAACAAATTTTATTGATAAANAATGAATAAAAATGTATTGCAATGCATTAACATGGGATATATACATCATTTCCTTATAGGTGGGCCAACTTGCCCCGACCCTGGGGCCAACTTGCCCCGTGGCGGGGCAAGTTGGCCTCCCTGACGTCAACTGCGTTTTTTGTCAAATTGTGAGCCATCTGTACCAACAACGAACTGAAGCGCGAAGATAATGCGTTTGCTGTGCGCATTGATGTTCTCTCGCGTGAAATATCGAGATCGGACAGCGCCATATTGTTTAGAGGTTGGAGCGTGATTCCAAAAATCGCAGTTCAACATTATTTACCAAAATGCCGCGTATTAATATTAAAGGAGGTGTTTGGAGAAACACAGAGGTATGTTGTTTCATCAGAAAAAGTTTGCTTGATATCATGTTAATCTACTGATCTACAGGCTGTGAACTATAATTAGAATCAACATTCGATCTTTTAGTATTTACACTCCCGTGCACTTAAAAAAGGGGTTCACTGTTGTTCTGGGGTTTTAAAAAAGTTCGATATGCTCCAGTACAGGCACAGGTCTTCCAATATTCCGATTCTCCCTTCATCTTGATCTCACCACTTTGTACATTTTCTCATTTGTCCCAGATGGCATGCAAACGTTGGGCCAGCGTTGGCCCAACGTTGCCTTGGTTGACCAATGCAAACGTTTGCCCAATAATAATAATTGTGGTTGAAACAAAAAGATAAGTGATATATTTTGAACTGTTTACTAGTAATAATGTGATATGAATGAAAAAAATATAATACAAAAAAAAAAAAAAAAACATCCCAAAAAAACTTTTTATAAAGATATTATAATATTAAATTTAAACAATCATAAGTGTGTCTTATATCAATTGTTACATGATTCATATCAAGAAAATTATTACCAGTCCTGTGAAAGAACTTTTCACCTTATTCCTGGAGTCAAGGCAGTTTTTCACTATTATAGTCTTTTTTACCCAATCCAAGATTCACGATTATTTCTATTTTTAAAAAATCTTCATTAAATTAAATTTAAATCCAGAAACAATTGTTAATATCAGGTAAGATGCTTTTTAAAAGAACCATCATTAAGTAGATAAGTTTAGTTTATAAAATCACATAAAGTCTCTTCCTTCAGACAAAATCTCAGACATTGTCTCTTTAAATCAAATCGGTGGTAATATGAATGCAATCTTTTTTTTTTTTCTCTCTTTCCTGTCCTGCACCTGCATGATCTTTGGCAAAGCACTATTTGTTTCGTGTATCTTCAATATCTTTGTCTGAATTGAATTCTGAATCAAATCCTGAGCCAAATCCATTGGAAATAACTTATTAAGGCCTTATCACAGACTGAGGCTCCCAGAAGAGTTTGCTGCACCTACAAATTTAAATATTAAAAACACTTGAAATGTAATGCTAGAATTGGTATTGTGCATAACATTTTATGTGCTTGACTAAACCTCTTCCAGCATTACTGTGTTCATATACGTATCAGTAGTTGTGTATTATATGATAATCTCCCCACCTTTTCTAAGCTAGGCAAAAGTTAATATCTTTACTTTTAAAAGTGAGTGTCGTGTGCAGTAATTTATAGGAAAATTAGTTCTTACATGTACACTTGACCATGAATTGAGTTTTAAAGGTTCAGAATTCCATACAACTGTACTGTACCACTGAATTCTATGTTATTTAATCATTCCAACAACTCTTATCACAAAATTCACTGGCCAGGATTCATACAGAAACATAAGAACAATTGGCTTTCAAGGACTTTCAAGGCTCTAATTCAAGTAATTTTCAGGGATTTTTAGCGAATGATCCAGGCAAGATAAACACTAATACATGTACAGTTATTCTAAAGTTTACATGATACCAAGAAAAAAGGACTCATTTCATTTAAACTTTGTATTTTTAATACATTGATGATGAAAAGTAATGATGTTTTAAAATGTATTATCCCCATCTGTGAATTATTTGAATTATTGTCTGTATTTATGTCAAGCTTGAAGTAAAATTTTGACAAGGACAAAAATGGTGAAATGCAAACCTTTTTCAAGCCTAATAGCAATTTCAAGTACTTTTCAAAGTCACAAACAGAATTCAAAGTGCTGGACTACATTTGAACTCTGTTCAAGGCTGTATGGATTCTGGTGCATCAGTAAATTATATGGGGAAATACAAAATTGAAAGATACTTACATGCTCACTTCTTAAACTGTCTCTTTATCTCTTCATTTTTCTTTCTAATTTTCCAAAAAGATGTATTCTTTTTCAATCCAGAAGGTATCTCGCTAAATTGCTTTCAGCTTAAGTGGGTTTGATGTCTGACACGCCTGCTGTAGCTTCTAAATGATAATTAATTATCCCGTAGCAGCTTCAGTATTTGTGACAGACATCTAAGTCGCTTAAGTTGATAGAAATTTTGTGAGAATCCCCTTAGAGATAGATCAATCCAAAGTTAGCACGATAGGGTCTGGGAATGGCCCTTAAGGCTACAAATTGAGGCAAGTTTGGATAGTGTTCTGTTTCAGGGACTGAAAAGGTCAATAAAGTAGTAATATATACTAAGTTCAATAGTTGTGCTTCATATGTGAATTTCAGGATGAAATCCTTAAGGCAGCTGTAATGAAATATGGCAAGAACCAATGGGCTAGGATTGCTTCATTGCTTCACAGAAAAACGGCCAAACAGTGCAAAGCAAGATGGTAGGTGTACAACCTAGGTCTTTTGAAGAAGTATGGGTTACAGCAAAATGCTACCATTTACTTAGTTATGAAATTTTAAAGATGTTTATGTAGCAGTGTTGCATCTGAGCTGTGCCATTAAGCCAATCAAGCATTGAAAACGGTGGTGAGTTTTTGTAGCCTCCTAATGTTTAATTGGGGGGACCCACTGTCTCCAAGTTTTCAGAACCCAGATGCAATACTGGTAGAAGATAGAAAATGTATCTTCCAATATATAAAGAAAATGCATCCTTTCTTGTATTATTCTGTGTCCTCATAACCATTATACATTCAACTCCTTATTCGCCTAATCCTACAAGATATGAACAAGGATACTCTAATATTTCACCTGATAAGTAAATAGATTTAGGAATTTTCCATGCTGTGTTTCTTTGCAAAATTATATTCAGTACAAAAGGAATTTTTCAATATTGATACGTAGGTTTAAGTGGCTAAATTTATGATATGTAGGTTTGAGTGGCTTGACCCAAGCATCAAGAAAACAGAATGGAGCAGAGAAGAAGAAGAGAAGCTGTTACATTTGGCCAAACTGATGCCAACACAGTGGAGAACTATTGCACCAATTATAGGAAGAACAGCAGCACAGTGCTTGGAACATTATGAATTCTTGCTGTAAGTATTGAATTAATATTTTGATTGATGAACAAGGTGATGTAGTGACAGTATGATGAAACATAGTCTTGTTCATTATCTTCAGTAGGTTTTCTTCTTATATTTGTGTCATTAAAAACAACATGGCATAGATAAAACCACAAAAAAAGCCTGCACTGTTATTATCATGTTTTTAAAGGAATCATTTTCAGTATATAGATTTTCAGTAGTTAACCTGGATCATAAGGTAAAATATGTGTTTTTTAGAGACAAAGCACAAAACAGAGAACAAGAAGAGAGCTCAGATGATCCACGGAAGTTGAAACCAGGTGAAATTGACCCCAACCCAGAGACCAAGCCTGCCAGACCAGATCCTATAGATATGGATGAAGATGGTGTGTGCTTTTTACTTCTTCTATAATTATAAGTATTGATAAGATAAGGATTTTTGCATCAAAAGCCAATGTGGATGATGTGACAATGAGGTATTGAAACATTAAATGACAGTCAGAATTTTACACCCTTTCAGTTCTTTTATTTGCAGGTAAACTGCAGGAAAATTGGTCCAATTTTTAGTTAATCAGTCTTTACATCATGCAATTTAATGTGTAAGGTAAACACTGTTTGTAATTTCAGAGCTGGAGATGTTGTCTGAGGCCAGAGCACGTCTGGCAAACACACAAGGCAAGAAAGCCAAAAGGAAAGCCAGAGAGAAACAATTAGAGGAAGCCAGGTAAGGTGTAGAATATCAACACACTTTAAGTGCTTTCCAATAGGTTAGTTTTTAAATATCCAAAAAGAATCCTTCAAAAATGTTGCCTTTTATTTGAAAAGAAGTATTATGGTGTTGCAGTACATAAGTCGTATGTTTTGTGTTTGAGTTAAGTGGCAGTTTTAAATTTGAAATGGAAAATAACTATCCAACATAATATTTGTTTTAGACGTTTAGCAGCTCTTCAGAAGAGGAGAGAGCTGAGAGCAGCTGGTATTCAGTAAGTTGATTTCAACATATTTCCTTTTTCTGGATATTTCAAGAGTTCTCTTCCTTCCAAATACAATGCACAGAAATGAATAAGTAACATTTCTCAGAAATTAATACCTTTTAATTATTGCAACAAAAGATCGCAAAATGATTACCATGATTTTGTACATAAAATTTTTGGGGTTATCACAGGCAATGAAAGTCTGAAATGAATATCAAAGTAATTGATTCCCTATGTCTAATAGATTTTACCTTTCAGTTATTTTATTTAGTAATTTTAAGTCTCTCTTAATTTTTTCCAGGTTGAAAGACAGAAAGAGGAAAAAGAGGGGTGTTGATTACAATGCTGAAATACCCTTTGAGAAAAAGCCAGCAGCTGGTATGTGTAATAACCCTCATATACTTCTAAATACAAGCATTCAGAGTTGTTACATTCCAATACAAATTATCAATTATACATTTAATTCTGCACCTCTCAGTATGATACATAGTTGAATATTTTTGACAGTAACTGGAATTCTGTTATATTTATGTACAATTTTACGTCTGTTTGACCATGTGGGCATTTTTTGTTCATCATTTTCACATTGAATCAATATTAAACATTTTACAATCAACAGGTTTCTATGATACAACTAATGAAACCTATGATCCTCTGGCACCAAATTTCAAACGTCTGCGGCAGCAAGAATTTGAGGGTGAGAGAAGAGATAATAAAGAGGCAAAGGAAAGAAAGAAAGACAAAGAAAAACAGAAGAATCGCAAAGAAAATGATCTGCCAGGGGCCATCATGAGTCAAAATAAGTAAGTCTGTATACAAAACAATGAATTTTAGTATTTAAAAAACCTTGGCATAAGAAATGGTAGTTTTCAAGTACAATATTACATTTCTTTAAAATTAGGTTTAAATTAACAATCATGTTATTTATTCAAAACAATGGAAGTGAAGTTTTCAGGGCTTATTGGGTAATCTGAAACATTTCTTTTGTTGTTATTAAAGAAAAAAACATCAAAGAAAAGTTTCGGCCTTGCTGTACTCAAAAAGTGGAGAGAACTTTATGAAACTGTGTGTGCACCAGAAAATCCAAAAGTTTCCTGTCAGTAATTTTTTGCCACTAGTGCATATCTTTATGTTACAGTGATGTGGACAATAGGATTGCTTTTTGATGAAATGTACACATTGTTTCCTAGATTTGCTGAACCAGTGAAGAAAAGAAGCAAATTGGTGCTGCCATCACCCCAGATTTCAGACCAGGAACTGGAAGATGTGAGTACCAGGTCTGCAGTTCTGTGAAAATCACATAAATCTACATTCTAAATATTTTCAATAATTGCAATTTTTTTGCAAATGAACTGTCTAAAAAGTTTCATTGAATAATCCTTCTGCATCCATGGGACAGGTATGTTGAATTATTGTGTGCACCACAAAAAAGAGCCATTTTCTATTATTTACCTCATTGTCAATCACATAACTTGTGTATTTCTGATTCAGGTTGTCAAATTAGGCCAGGCAAGTGAATATGCCCGTCAGCAGGCAGAGGAAGCAGGTATCCAGGATGGGGCATCCAAAGCTCTTCTGTCTGATTATTCTGTTACACCAAACGCTGCAAATCTGAGGACACCCAGGACACCAGCACAGCAAGATACAATTTTACATGTAAGATATTGTCAGATATGTTCAGTAGCTTTTTCTTCCTTCCTTTAAATTTTTTAATCAAAATATTGTGATAAGTAGTGTTGGTCTAATATTGTCAAAAAGTAAGTGCAAAAAATAGAAAATAAAATAGCCTTAGTCTGCAAAATTGGCCTTGTGTTTTGTATGTTTTGAAATTTTATGACTAATTTAAATGTATGGTTGATTGTGGTACCTGCATTTCATCTCCCTAGATGTGTCAAGTAGTAGATTCCTCTTTTCAGGAAGCCCAGAACATAATGGCTCTTACCTTGGTGGACACCCCCTTGAAGGGAGGGATGAACACTCCACTGCATGAGAGTGACTTCAGTGGTGTCACCCCAAAAAGACAAGTGTCTCAAACTCCCAACACAGTGCTAGGCACACCCTTCAGAACTCCTGGCAGAGAAGGAGGTACGCCTTATTTTCCTTCTCCTTAAAACTTCTGAGGTGGAATGTGCTGCATTTTTCAGTAAAAGTAAAAGAAATTCAGTAAAAGAAGATGGTCACCTGTAAGAACAAATCAACTGGCTTTGTTGTCAAATCTCATGGAAGCAATTTAAGATGTAAAAGAAGAATGAAAGCCATAGACAAGTCACAAGTTGTGAACAAACAGTTGAAGTTGTGAACATATTAATATGCAATAAATTTTAAGACTTTGTTTGTTTATCCTTTTCAGTGGGTGCCACACCCAGGCAAGGTATGACCCCGGGCAAGGGGCAGACTCCTCTGACCACACCCTCCAGAGACAACCTGAGAATAAACCCAGATATGGACTTTGATGAACAACAAGAATATGGAAACTTTGCACAGGTTTTTATATATGCTTATTTCTGTTCGTTTGTGGTATTTGTGCTGGTCCAGTATAGGCCTAAATGATATGTTTAAACAAACAAATTTTGATGAATTCTGAATACTCATTGTTTACATCTCAAAGCTTTGTTTAGCTAACTAAACGTAATCTGCTGATAAAATGATAGTTAAATTAGTAATGCCCATAAGACCTCAGTTACTTGTTAATTCTGTTCAACAGTTGCATACTTTTTTTCAGCAAAATCAGAAAGATCTACTGAAAAGGGGTCTTTCTTCCTTACCTGCCCCAAGAAACGACTATGAAATTGTTCTTCCTGAAAATGAGTTGCAACAGAATGATCAACACATGAATGAGATGGAAGGATTCATACACGACCAGGCAGACTTGGATGCAATGAGACATGCAGAAATGGAGGCCAAAAGTAAGTTTATAAAACAGAAACAGAGATGAGATGAGGGGATTAAAGGGATTTTATTCAATCCCAGTCACAATGCTTTAGGAAAATTGATGCAGCATTATGACAAGTAAAATTCTCTCCCTCCTTTCTCCTATTCACTCTTTCCCTTTAAATTTTATTTTTTTTAAAGACATTTTAAATGATGAGTCAGGCATAGGGTGAACATTTTCTTTCATGCCAATTGAGGAACTTGATGAGGGTAAGTCCTATTTAAAGTAGCCCAGTGACATTATATGGTAACATTATATTTTTTTCAGTTAATTCATAAGAGCACACACTCCAATATGAAATGTTTCTATTTGTTTTTCAAGGGCAACAGGAGCTGTTAAAGCGGTCCCAGGCAGTTCAGAGAGAATTACCCAGGCCAGCTGATGTGAATGCTAACATTATGAGACCTCCCCCTGGACCAAGTGATCCTCCCCTTACAGAACTTCAGAAGGTTGGTGCATCTGTATGAGGTCATTGTGAGTTTTAGGCTTCGTTCACATGGAAAGTCTATTTTCTAAAAATCTATTTTCTATTCGCAGTATATCTTGTGATCACGGTCTGTGCCCTGAATATCCCACGGCGTAATTACTGGCAGCGTGAGCCAGTTACTTCCAAAGCTGTAATTAATTCTTGGCTGTGTTCAGAGGAGATTCTGATACCTTGACGCATGCGCAGTAGGAAGTTAGAAAGTTAATGGCGGTCGCGGTTGCTTTGAAAAATGTGTTTGTCGAATTTGTGCAACAACAAGACAAAGAAGATGAAGAAGCTATACACACGACAGATACGAGTGCGACCGTCATGATCCGATGGTAAGCAATGCGGCAACGGAGGATGAGATTTTATAGAATGCGAGCACAGCCGAGAATTAATTACAGCTTTGTATAAGTAACTGGCTCGTGCTGCCAGTAATTACGCCGCGGGATATTCAGGGCACAGACCGTGATCATAAGATACTGCGAATAGAAAATAGATTTTTAGAAAATAGACTTTCCATGTGAACGAAGCCTTAGTGATGCTAATTGTGCAGTGATGTGGAGGATTACTATTTGTAAATCACCCATGTATATCTTGATGTATTTGCTTTAGGTCTAGAAAAGGAAGTGAAAAGCAGTGTTATCCTTTTTTCACTGAATGGTATGGAGTCATGAATGTTTTTAAATGACCTTCATTGCTTTTGCATAATTATTGGTTTAGATAGTAATGCCTTAGTGCATTTTTTGTTTCCCAGGATTGAAAGATCTTTGAGACCAGCAATAGTATAGATATGATGTGTTTTGAAGATACATTATACTACTAACCAAAACACCTGGACCCCTCTTTAATTTAGGCAGAGGAACTGATAAAGAAAGAGATGCTGACCATGCTTCACCATGATGCTGTGTACAGTCCCACAGACACCCAGCTTGGCATAATACCAGGCAGTAAGAAAGCTGTGCCCAGTCAGAAGACTGTGGTGAACCAGGCCCAGCACTTAGCATACCTGGAGCAGAATCCATACACAGAGGTAGATGATCATGATCTAGAGCAGGTGAGGGATGATGATTTGACTTTAGAGGAGATAGGTTTTCAAGTTAAGCAGTGAGAAGGAGTGCTGTTAGACACATTTATAATAAAGACTGCTTCTCTATGTCTTTATTTTTGTGTAAAATATTTCCTTGAAGCAACACATAGTTCAGTAATTTGCAAGTTTTGATAATTCTGGTATTCAAATGATATGTTGTCTAGATAGCAAATTGTCGCTTAATCTGAAATGAAAAACATGTTGGTTACTGAAGGCCCGCGAGCTGCTGCGTAGGGAGATGGAGGTAGTGAAGCGTGGTATGGGGCATGGGGACCTGTCCTTGGAGGCCTATACCCAAGTGTGGGAGGAGTGTTACTCCCAGGTCCTGTATCTACCATCACAGAACAGGTACACCAGGGCCAACCTAGCCAGCAAGAAAGACAGGATAGAGTCACAGGAGAAGAGATTAGAGGTAAGGAAAGCTGTTGTGTGTTATTATTTTACAGATTCCTGAAAATTAAATGTAGATAGATATGACTGTGTAGATTAGTCAGCCAAGCATATTTTACATTGAACGCATTTCTTGAATCTAAGTTTTATCTGTTTCCCAGTTACCTGGCTTGTTTTCACAAAGGTGATGCAATATTGCCAACTCAATAATGTGAGTCCAGTAATAGATTTTAAAATACTGATATTAAGTCTATATTAATGTCCAGCGGCATATTAGGTATTTTTTGGTTACTTCTGGATATGGTTTAGGATGCCAGGAAAAAATTTTAACGAATATTTTGGTGATAGAACCTACCGTAGTTATCTCTCCCAAAGATTACCAGAGGTCATGTCTAATTCTAGAAAAGTGTGTTTATGCTTTTGATATAGAATAAAGACACTTTATTCAGCATAGCTATTTTCTCCCTGATCAGGTCAACAGAGGCCATATGACCAGAGAAGCTAAGCATGCTGCAAAAATAGAGAAGAAATTAAAAATTTTACTGGGAGGCTATCAGGTAACTTCATGTTAATGTACAGAGGTTTTAAAGCTAAGTGTTACATATACTGACCGGTTTCTTACGTAAATATTGCTTTTGGTTATCAAATAAAAAGTGATGATGTTATATTCTTACCTGTCACTATTGATATAATTCCCATACTTCATTTCCATTTGCAAATTATTTTGCTTTCAGTCTAGAGCACAGGCTCTAATGAAACAACTGCATGATTTAACGGAGCAAGTGGAACAGACCTTCATTGAAAAACAGACTTTCTCTCATCTTCGTCAGCATGAAGTAGGCGCCATTCCTAAGAGATTGGAGGTAATGTCTCCTGCCAGATATCAAAGAAGCATCTTTTTTTATGAAATAATAGGGATTAAAAGAATTTGTTCTATTTACTTAAATATGAATGTGCACCTAGCTGAAATTTGGTGTAACCATTTGAAAATGTTAGGGAAAATTCTTTTATTTTATTGTTGCATGCTCAGTTTATTTATGGCTTGTAGTATTTGAGTTATGTTGGTCAGTGATCCATTTTTTTTTTTAATTTCTTTACTTTTCTGTTAACAGTCTCTAACAGAGGATGTGAACAGGCAAACGGAGCGAGAAAGAGAGTTACAGAAAAGATATGATAAACTGCAGCGGAAAAAAGATATGCTGGCATTAGGAGTGTACTAGCACCTGAGGAACTCTGTTCTACTGTGAGACTTCAGCACAATTATAATGCTGTATTTTAACTGTTGAAGAGTACAAATATGAGACTTATAATTATGTCCTTTAAAAGACACAATGTTATGTCAGTGCAGAATCGAAGCAATATGTTGGATTATTTTCTTCAAACTTTTCATTCGGGACAAGATCATTTGATAGAGAGTGGTTCATTTATTTTTAAAATGTGCATATTTACTTTTTGGAAGATGAAAGGTCCTAACATCTTGCAATGGAATAATTTCTTAATGACAATCTCAAACGTAAAAAACGTAAATATTATGATTATGTACAGAAAGAAAATTTTGACATCTTAATACTTTAGTAGATGCTGGTTGAGAATTTAATCATTTAAAAACCTCGTCACTATTCTTCGTAATTTAATGGCCATTTAGATACGTATCATGTTGTGCTTACGTAACTCTGTGTAAAACTACTGGGGTAGAGGGGCACACCCACTCACGTTGCAGCTGGGGTTGTTTGTTCATCTACATTTTCGATTTTCTCATTGCTATATTAAGACCAAAATAAATGGTTGTGGAAGTTTTGCATTTATTTTTTAATGAAAATTATTAATAGTACAGTGTATTTTTACCCTTCATGATTTTTTATCATCAAAAACCATTAAAGCCCCTTCCGTGGCAGTTACAATTGCAAGATAAAATTATTTAATACCGTATTTGACTGAATGAGTTCACTATAACTGGAAGTCCAAACAGTTCGTCACAAAAGAATGCATACGTTACGTCAGTTTATTTTTTATCAAATTTGTGCACCACAGCAATCCCGCCACCTTGTACTTTTTCAATAGTGTAATACCAGTTATCATATCCCTCCTGACGAAGCGGCTCTTTCAAATCATCCTCCAAGAGCTTTGGTGGGTGAGAACTGCCTGCATCCTCACCATACTTGTGCATGGCGCGTCGATAGATTTGTTCGACCAGCCCCAAAACTTCTATCGGGACTTTGGCGTCAAACGCTAGTTTCCTTCCAAGATCAAGATCTTTGCAGTGCAGTGCTATTTTGAACCCTGGATCAAAGGACCCGTTAAACATGAGAGGAGCTTCAGTTTCGAAGACGAAGGAATTCCCAGCCGAGGCACGAATGCCATCAAAGAAAGCCTGCAGGTTGATTCCGTGCCTCTTGGCTATCATAGCTGACTCTCCTGCCACAACCATGTGAACGGCACACAACATGTTGCTGATAACCTTGACGACGCTTGCGCTCCCTATCGGACCCATATACAACACAGTATCTGTATATGACCTAATAAGTGGCTCATACTTTTTCATGTCTTCGGTGTCCCCGCCAACAAAAACTGTCATGAGTCCAGCTTTTAAAAGCTCTAAGCCACCCGTTAACGGAGCCTCCAGCATTTTCAATCCCCTGTTCTGAGCTATGACTGCAAGGCGCTTAGTTTCGTCGGCGTCTGTAGTGGTATGGTCGATCCAGCAGGCGCCTTCCTTGATTTTAAAAAGGACGCCCTCTTCCTCCATAACCTGCCTTATGTGAGGTGGAGCTGGCAAAGCTGTAATCACCACCTCTTTCCCAGCCACGACTTCTGATGCGGTGTCCACCCATTTTGCTCCTTGCTCGGTCAATTCCTTGGCGTTCAGGGTACTTGGATCCGTCACAGACACGCTGTGCCCGCCCCTCAGGAGACCAAGAGCTACAGCACGCCCAACTTGCCCGGCTCCTATTACACCAACGTTAGCATTACTGACAGCCGATGTGCTAAACGATGGGCATTGGATTCTAACGACGCGTGTGGCAGCGCCCAAACGTGTTAAACTTCTCAGCATTGTTAGTTTGGATGTGACAGTGCTCACTGTATCCGAATTACAAGCGTCGTCACAGATGCTCTAAATAACGGACCCTGGACGAGCAGCTAACCTGCCGTAGTAGCATTAGACAGTATAATATGTTATCGGTCGTCGATGTCAAAGGTCACGTTGGATTTATCACGCGTGCACAACAAAGGGACCGTTCGCTATTAATTTTGTTGACCTAGCTTATGGGCACTAACTCCGTTGGGACTTGGGCCAGATTTGCTAAATACAATTAAATTATCAGGAATTCACGCCTCCTCCAGGTGTTGAGCAGCATATAAAAAACTGGCCATTACACGAATGCGTTGGAAACGAGAGGGATGTTAGTATGTTAATTCTCTGTTTGACTCCCCGTGGAGTTAGTGCGCATTAGCTAGGTCGACAAAATTCATTGTGAACGGCCCAAAATACGTCGGCTCCAGCATTCAGTGCTGCCCCCTGTGGGCGTAGACTAACATGCTCGGCTTGCATGATGAGTTATGTAATGTGTAATATGTATCCGCGGCATTGAAACCCCAAGAATGTTTAGCATATCAATTTTTTTCATGTTCGTTTTGGTTTCAAAATCAACAAATCAGAGCTCGTTTTAAGCGGCATGGCATGCAAAAACAGGTCAACTGCTTGGCATAAATAGGTCACAATGACGGTGCCACAAAATTTAAGTGACACAAATAGAACCGGACGTCACACCAGTGTGACAGGAATGGTAGTCCTCTAGGAACTGTCAGGGGGTGGAAACGCGCTACTTATGTGATAGATACAATACGAGTCGCCGAGCTGTACGTGAAATATTACGAGTGTATTGGCGAGCCGCCACCCTGAGCTTCAGAGCTAACTTGACACTAACCTCTTCACTGTAGCCTATCTTCATCGTGTCAAGNAAAAATGATGGTAAACTTGTTATCGTGTATTGTGTAATAAAGTTGCAAAAATGGAAATAAACTCATATCATTGCAGTTTGTCAAATTCAATCATTAAAATTTTGCATCAGAATTGACAGTAGACTATTTTGTGCATAGTTATTTCCTGTTTTTGTCTGTACATTTGACAGCTTTGCTGCCTTGTTTTCATGTTCATTTTGGTTTCAAAATCACCAGATGTGAGCTCGTTTTAAGTGGTATCGCATGCAAAAACAGGTCCACTACTTGGCATAAGTACATGTAGGTCACAATGACGGTGCCACAAAATTTAAGTGACACAAATAGAACCGGACGTCACACCAGTGTGACAGGAGTGGTAGTCCTCTGGGAACCGTGGTACGCTTCCAATTACTTTGTGCAGGTGACATTCGCCCCATAGCCTTACCCCAATACTTCGATTAACCCAAATCTGTACTTATCATATGGGACCGCGGACTTCCCATTTCTAGGCCGGGGTTAAAATACTGTAAAATATACTGGTAATTTATGATTAAGGGATGTGCAGATTACCATATTGCAATGATACAATACCCCGCGCCCTGGGTATAAGAAGAACTTTATATTTAACATACACAAATGCATGATGATAATACAGTACAGTGGCTGAAACTCGGAAGTGCATGCGCAGTCCTGAGGCTGTGTGACAGATGTCCTACCACGTTACTTGCCATGGGACCGAACACACTGATAATCATTGCTGCATTGTATGCTTTACCCGCTAAGACAAGGCGTATTTATTCACGCCTATGTTTAGACGCTGTTTAATATCATTGTGTTTTATTTGGTGAACGATGAGACGTTTTTCTAAGCAAATTGAGCGCATGTTTATGATGATTTGCCCCGCACCCCACGATTTGATCGTTAAGAGCAATTCACCACCTGGCGTGGGCAGCTTTGTGACATTGCTGTAGTTGTGGCAGTGGGACAGTCATCACCAACAATGCGTTACGCTGATCGTCTAGTCTGGTTTATACATGTAGGCCTACATGTATGTCGTCAGAGACCACTGTTCTTGTATTCCCGTTAATCCAAAACAAAATGCTAATGAAGCCGCCTTTATGTCCTTCAGTATTGTTACTGCGGGTCAACATAACTTCATAATTATTAATCTTTATGGGCGTTCACACACACACACACACACAAATCAATCTTTAATCTTGCTGAAGGGCAAAATCTTATAGGGTTCTTTGCAAATAGCGGAAAGTACTTTTCTAGTAGGGATGACAGCAAATAATTCTCTTCACATTATCGTCACTTTTACAAAATGTTCCTTTAGTCGTTAATGCACTTCACGTGTCTTTAGTGTTAAATTTGCATTGTATAGCATATTCAAGCTCGGCAAACCCACCACGACTAATAATTTTCCTTTAATGGAGAAGGTATATCGCATTTGAGAGCTTTAACTCACATTAATTATACGCTTTTATGCTCATCGACTCCCTACCCCCAAACTTCCCTTAATGGTTTCACATAAGGCAGACAGAAGGGACTTTAAGCCAGGGCCCGCAGTAAACGAGTTCCTACTGAGCCCTTACTCAAAATGAGAGAGTTTGCATTGTAGTACCGTTCAAGCTTGGACGAATAAACACCCAAACCCAATATGGAGGTGCAAATGATGTCACATGGTCTTAAAATATGTAGGCCTAGTGCAAACTATGCTTGATTATTTTAGGGTCCCAAATGAAGAAGTTTGTATCAAAGTTTTACTCTCCTGAACCTCAATTGTGCGATCTATCGTCTAATCCCAAAAAGGAACATACGTAACTGTCACAAATGCAAAATGTCCAGCCGTGGAAACGTTTTACTCACTTTGAAAATTCAGTCAATACTGGTTTTGTTCTTTAAATTATCTCCTACAAGTATAGCGATGTAAAAATTATTATATTCTTCTGTATAGAACAGTTCATTTTTTGACAGACTTTTAGTTTGCTTGTCACTGAATATTAAAAATGGAGTAAAATACTCCCAACTGACAGTAAAATAAGCATTAAATAAACTATTTCCAATCCTTGGTCCAAATATTGTATCCGAAATGTCAAACTTTCGTGGATTCACAATATATTTTTCAGTCAGCAACAGAAAACCCTGTTTCCTATTGCACCAAGTACTTGGGCAAATATAAAACTTAATGACAATTTTTCGTAGTATTAGCCATGACGCTAAGCCCCTTGAGTTACAGTGTAAATATTTATAAAAACATCTTTACGTCATGTATAATTACCATGACTGAATCACTACAAAATACATCAGAACGCGATAAAAAAATTAAAATTATATGCCCCGGAACATACATTACCCACCCTGAGCTTCAGAGATAACTTGACACTAACCTCTTCACAATAGCCTATCTTCATCGTGTCAAGTTACCTCTGACCACATTCGATTGCCCCCGCCGCCCGCCAATCAAATTTAAAGCCCGCACTCAATGACTCATTGAACGATTCTAGCCAATGAACGCGAACGAGTCAAAGCGCGCTTTGTTCAAATCCGGACCAATCAAAGATAAGGCAGCACGCAAAATACATCATCCCTCAGTAGATAATGATGCAGGGCCTCAAACTGCTCTGGTTTCAACTCCGATATACTCATATTTTGCAAAGAATCAAGAGATAACTTAACACATTATTTTACGTAGTCACTCGTAGGAGACACCATGCTTTCTTTGTGTAGGGTTATGCACTCGGAACTACTCGGATGTCTCCGCACTCGACAATAACTTTGTTGTTAGTATGGAGCTTGCGGAATCAGCCGAGGATTGCCGATTGACGATCAACCAATCAGCGTTTTCACCAAACTGGTGAAAAATTTTGAAACTTGGATTCGATTGGCTTATATAAACTAGGTCAAACTATTTTCGTCAGAGGTAACTTGACACGATGAAGATAGGCTAT